AAAAAATTTGAATTGCATTATACTCGTCTGAAGAGGAATAATATGTACAACATTTTACAAAAGAGGTCCAAGATATTGCACTGTGTAAGAAGTGCTACTGGGTACAAACTTACATATTATCTTCCAGCATACTGCACTGAACTAAGTGAGCTGGGGTTCTCTATAGAGTCTGCAGACTGGTGTTAAGTTGATAAGAGCCACAACGGAGCGTCTGAACGATGTTCTTGTAACATGAATGAGCCATTTTGTAGTATTTGTAGCCTATAGACAATCATTTTGATGGGTAACGTTGACTGACATTATGCAGGTAAATCCTATGGATGATTTTTCAAGGGCTCTGTGTTGCAAGGTCACAACTACAGAGTCTATTGCAATCTATAACAGAAATAAAGGGCAGGGTCAATGCCACGATAATGATCCTTCAAGATGATCCAAGCTGATACTTGTGAAAAAAGCACTTACATACACTTTCAATATGTGCATAAAACATACTTCAGCCTGAATACAACATAACGAGTTTATTATTTGCTCAGACCTCAACAAGGAGCCTCAGCACAATAATCTTCAACTTTGTGCCTTGCATATCCGGGCGTCGAGGGGCACAGTGACAGCTGTTCATCACGGCGACAGTAATACAAGACATTTCTATCTCTCCACACCATCAATTTGCCAAGCCTGGACATTGATTTATTCATAGCCATCAGTATGCATCATTTGTCCAAATTACAGAGAGGAAATATTGACAGAAGATAAATCAAGATAAACCGAGTCACTGTGGACAGTGTCAGATACATCTGATTTCTGTACAACCCATTTTAAACAAACTGAAACAATACCAAAATACATCAGCTGATAACTAAAGTCATCTGCTAGAAATTAATTCACAATTTAAGGATAAAAGCACCAACATCTTACTCATCTCCACCTGTATTAAATACCAATACAGACAGAATGTCAAACTGTAACCTTCCTTGGCAACCTAAAGCCTGCATTTCCAGGCTGAAGGCAGTGCCGATAGCAGATATCAGCTGCTGCATGACAAACAGATCATTCAAATGACCTCTGATGGATTCAGAAGCGGGAATCTTAGTCTATCTGTCCACACCTGTACATGGAAATGAGATTTTAATTCAACCAGACCACCTGATAACAGCAAAACACTGACGGGAGGGTCTGAGAAGCTGCCATCAAAGATATATTTATATATTAGGTATCATCTTTTGAGTATCAAGATCCATCACTTTACCAGTTTTTGCATCTTCCCAGCTGCCTATAAGGCAGAGCTTGGATCTCATCAATAATGCAACGAAACATTATGTTTATGCAATTCACACAATGACAGAGCACTAGTACATTATAGTGATTGTAGCCACATACTGGCAACATCCCTACAAGCATACAACAGCTTGTGCCCACTCAAAAGCATGACGAGAGTTATTTAGGTTAAAATACAAAATAGACTATAGTATAGAGAGTGTAAAAAGGCAATACATACTCACCTTTTGATTCTGTTTTGTGCAGGTTCTTATCGCTTCATGGTAGCACAGCACACAGGAAAAATAACTGTAGTGCCATGGTGATATGCAAATTAATGGATCACGCTGAATACAAGGACATTTATTATTTATAAATTACTCATGTTTATGCAAATTAGGTTACACTGCCCTACTCAAATAGGAGGTTGGTAATTTATTGTCTTGCTTCATAAGCTTCAGTGGCTTTTTAAAAAGGCAAATATTTGATCTAACTAACTGTTATTCATGTTAAAAAAGTAAATTGTCATCAACATACATTTTTATCAAAAGCTTTTATTTTTGTGTAAAAATAAAAGTCATTTAACAAGGTTCAAACATTTAAACCAAAATCGTAGGACAAATTAAACCTTAATAATGTAATACAGATTGATGATACTAAAAAGCTGGGTTAAAAAAATACTACTTGATGGAACCACGTTTCCAACTTACTGTAGGGCAGGGATCCTCAAATCTGGCCTACGAGATCCACTTTCCTGCAGAGTTTAGCTCTAACCCTAATCAAACACACCTGAGCATGCTAATCAATGTCTTCAGGATCATTAGCAAATCACAGGTAGCTGAGTTTGATCAGGGTTGGAGCTAAACTCTGCAGCGCATTGGACCTCCAGGGTAAGATTTGAGGAACCCTGCTGTAGGGGAATGGGTTATAACCATAAACACTTGGCGCCCCCATGTGGTCATCTGAGAGAGCGTCTCTGTGTTCCACCTGTCCCGTTATGATTGTGCTGAAATAAACAGTTATATTTACACTACAAAATGGACCAGTCTCTAAAAATCGACAACACACATCAGTCCATATGCATGTTAGGTTTGAAAACCGTCACAGAACTTCTCAAAACATTTTCAACCTCTTTTTCAAATTGATGAAGTTTAAAGTCGCAGAATCCTCCGTACAGTAACCCAGTGGTCAGTGTTTTCATAGCCTTCTTCATTTGCCACAGTGTAGGTACAGTGACCGTGTGTAAATCACCGTTAAGCTCAGCCGTGACCACCGTCGGTTCGAGTTAGATCCGTTAGTGAGTCACTTTCATCGTTAGACTGGTCCGTTATGCGCTCGTCAGATTGTTGGAGAACACGATCGGACGCACTTGTGTCCTCAGTTTGGTCGCTTTGTGGATTTTCTGAACACTGGTCGAGCTGGAACATCTCTCGTACAAGTTTCTCTCGGGTTTTTAAAGCGGTTGAACCGGTCAGTGCTTGACCGGAAGTTACCGAATCCCATTACCCTAGCCAACCGAGTCGCTTCTGAACGAATCATTTACAGTAATACCCTTCTCTCGAGAATGGTCGACCCATCTCCAAAGCGCGGCTTCAAGTTGACGCGCCTTTGTAGATGTGAAATTCATTATTGGCACCAATTGTACCACCGTCTTACTATCAGATGACCGATTATTTCGGTAGATCTGGAACATCCCTCGTATGACTCCCTCTCGGGTTTTAGAGCGCGTGAACCATTCCGTGTTCGTTCTGAAGTTACGAACACCCACAGTCCTGGCCAACCGAGCCGCTTTTGAACGAATCGATCCACCGCCACAGTGCAGCTTCGATTCGATGCGTCTATCTGACTTGTAAGGTTGTTCTTAGGCTCCGCCGCTTTATTGTCGGATTTGGGCTCTTCTGGTGCGTCTCCCTCTTTTCGGTCGACCTGGAACATCTCTCGTGTTTTGAAGCGTGTAGTCAACCACTCTGTGCTCGCCCTGAAATTACAGAGACCCATTTCTGTAGCCATTTGAGTCGCTTTTTTACGAATCGTTGAATCGTCTACTGCAATTCCGTCCTCACTAGAAGTATCGATCCACCTCCAGAGTGCAGCTTCGACTCGAGGCGTCTTGCGAGGTGGAAAGACAGTCCTAGGAAGGGTCGACTTGGCATTTTTAATATTCCTTTTCCGAAGCCAGACGCAAAGCAGAGGCCCTGATGTTTAGCAAACGTGCTGCGGCTCTTTGGGACACTGGAGGAAGTTGGTCATATTTCTCGAGTATACGCTTCCTTTCTACGTTAAATATTTCCTCGTGGCCATGTTTACGTTCTTCTTAGAAGTGATGGGGATTTGAACTCTGGCGGCGATTCTTTTAAGTCGAATCTTTTCAGTGAATCGGTTCGATCAGAAGGGTTCGTACACGAATGGCCTCTTGGGCATGTAGTGACGCTCCGTCTGTGACTGTGTCAAGGATGGTCGTACAAATATCAAATGGTTTTAAAAGATTGAGCTATTAATCTCCTTCAGAAATTTCTGGAGGGCCACTGCCCTGCTGAGTGTAGCTCCAAATTGCTCCAAAACACCCTGCTGGAAGTTTCTAGTAACGTTAGTCATAGTAACTTGATTAGCTGGCTCAGGTGTGTTTAATTAGGGTTGGAGCTAAACTGAACTGAACTTGACACCCCTAGAGCATCAAGTGAAATAATTGCTTAATTGTTCTTCTTCTTCTTCTTCTGTTTATTGGCGGTTGGCAGACTAGCTTATTAGTGCATTACCGCCACCATCTGAACTGGAGTGTGGAGCATCGATGCATGTATATGTATCACATATGAATGTATATCATACTAAATAATAATACTAATACTATAGGCATTACAAACATCCACGGTGGAACTGCTGACATGTGTACTGTATTACTGAATTTTACATTTTTTACATCTATCAATTCCGCTATTTCCTCCATTTCTTGCCCAATATTCTTAATATTACTTTTTCCATATTCCCAATTTTTTAAAAATATTGCTTTAGTAGGGTGTTCATTGTTGTGCCCCATCAAAGATGCCCAATATACCATTTTCAGTTGTTTACGTCAGCTCATAAATCCAACCATCACTCTTGTTGGCAATACTTCTTCTTCGAACTGGATCATTACAGACAAACTGTCTTTCCTCACCCCATCCCTTGTATACTGCATCCGTTTAACTTTGCAAACCTTTGCTCCAGTTAAGCTCTTTTTAATCTCATCCTCTGACACTTCTGTTGGAATTCCATATATGACACCTTTGGTTGTTTTCCTCTTCCCATTTTGAGCATTTTACAGAATTACTTGCCAGTGTTTTTAATCGCAATGCTTTTTCTCTCTGCTTTTCATCTCTGCATATTAGCATTATATTTCCGTCACGTATTGTTTTTGCATACTTAATGTTCCCTAGTTTCATTTTGAGTGCTTCCGTTATCTTTAATGGGTTCTTTGATCCAGGCACTTCAAATTTAATGATAACCTTATGTTCTTCCTTCCTTTCCATGATTCTTCGACTACTTTCCTCATTATCACTATCCGTATTATGTTGATGTACTTTCTTCCTTTTCCTATTTACTAGGTTCCACTCCATTTCAGTCCTACCTCCCTCACCAGCTTCTTCCATCCATTCCTCCTGTTCACTTCCTGATCCATCGTCACTTCCTACCATCTCAGCTCCAGTCACAGTTCAGTGCTGCCAACCGCCGCCGTGGTCCTTCGGCTGTCTTGCTGAATTGTTTGTTTGAACTGGATCTTTTAAACAAACTGTTCAAAAGAGTCGATTCACAGAAATGAGCCAGACTCGTGTGAGTGAGGAACACAATCGACATCATCCAAAGGCGACTAAAAGGTGGCGTGATTCATACGCGACGGTTCTTGCGCATGTCTACTGTTGAAACCTTGGTTTAAACAAAGATCAATAGCTCAATCTTTTAAAACCCTTTGACATTTGTACGACCATCCTTGATACACAGACGGAGCGTCACTGCCTGCCCAAGAGGGGTGAGATTGAAATATTTCATCCTTAGGATGAAATATAATTTTAATGAGATCTGAAAACATTGTTTAGTTAACTGCCTCGGTAACGCAATACAATAACTTGAATACTAGTAATTCGTGAGTAGTAGAATTATATGTGTATACTCGTCTGCTACCTACTGGACTTCTGCACGAGAGCTAAATGCACGTATCTGGTGTGTAATCATAGTTGTATTCTTCTATCTACAGCCTTGCATTCAACATGTATCACAACAGCTCTCAGAAGAAATTCTGGACTTATGATAAAGAGGAAACCCTAGATAAATTAAGACTTGAAGCTAATCGGAAGTTTTGTTTAAAAGGCATGTCCAGTGGTAAGGTAAGTGGCACCTGCAGGGATTCTCTATATGTATTTATTTTACATGCAAGTCTACAAAATATACTTTTCCCTATCTATCTATCTATCTATCTATCTACAGTACAGTAATCCAGTCATTTATAGTGTTATCAGCATAAACATCAATCACACTTTGACTTTATCTGTTTTTCAGCCTGGAATAAATGAATCCATGTTTCTTGATGATCAAGAAGAGAAAGTGCTTTTCAGACACTATGAAAAGAGATTGCTAGACTTCTGCGCTATGTTCAAGCCTGCGATGCCTAAATCTGTTGTGGTAATAAATATCACTTTTATCAGTTAAAGATGAGATCATCTAGCGTGCCGTTCTTGCTTTTTTTATTTTAAAACTTCTATATGTTTTTCAGGGCACAGCTTGTATGTATTTTCGAAGATTCTATTTGAACAACTCTTTAATGGAGTATCACCCTCGGACGATAATGTAAGTGTATTGATTTGAGTGAGATTTATATACGATCATGAGTTATTAGAGTTGTGACCTTCAAGTCCTACTTTTGCAGGTTGACATGCGCATATCTCTCCTGTAAAGTGGATGAGTTTAATGTGTCCAGCACTCAGTTTGTGGGGAACCTTCAGGAGAGCCCTGCAGGACAGGAGAGGGCTCTAGAACAGATTCTGGAGTACGAGCTGCTTCTCATCCAGCAGCTCAATTTTCACCTGGTTGTTCACAATCCTTATCGGCCCTTGGAGGGCTTTCTGATTGACCTGAAGGTGAGGCTAAAGCCTGGTTGTAGACGGTCCCACCCCTTGTTTGGGCCAATGTTATGATGTCGGGCTGCTCAAACATTTTTAAAAGTTGCTAAACAGATTATTTAACTGAATTTAAGTGCATGGTTTCTGTATTCTCAGACCAGATACCCATTGTTAGAAAACCCAGAGATGCTGAGAAAGAGTGCAGAAGACTTTCTCAACAGAGCAGCAATGACGGATGCCGGACTCCTCTTCTCTCCATCTCAGATCGGCCTCACTGCCGTCCTCAACAGTGCTGCACGTGCTGGCCTCAAGATGGAGGCGTAGGTTCCTCCTTCAGCATTCAGAGATTCTAGCAGTTGAGATGGTAGGACGTTAAAAAGTATTTTCTTTTACATTAACAGATATTTGACCGAATGCATGGGGCTTAAGGAGGATAAAGAGACCCTCTCAAAGATGTATGAGTCAATGAGACGTAAGTATTTTTCTTTTCTTTTTTTAACTGTTAAAATGTCTCTAAATAAGAGATGAATAACTCTGACCACTTCTGCAAAACCGTCATAAAAGGTCTCAGATATTCAGTGGGTAAGTCTGTGGCCTATACCTTCATCAAAGTTATTTTATGAGAGGTTTATCTCCTAAAAGATCCATTTTGTTGTGAAATGCCGTTTTGAAGAATAAAGGAAGACCCATTCGAACCCATCCATACTTTAACCCTGTGAAGCCTTCATGCACACTACTCAAAAGTCTAGAATAATTTGACTGAATTTATATTTCTAATGATAATAACCTTTTGATCTAAAGACTTAAATGGCCAACAGACTTGTGTAACACTGAAGACTGGAGTAATGGCTGCTTAAGATTCAGATTTTGCATCACAAGAATAAAGTACATTTGAAAATATATTAAAATGAATTTATTTTAAATAATTATTTTCAAAATTTTACTGTTTCACTCTGTTTTTGATTAAATAAATGCAGCCTTTGTGAGTGAATTCTTTCAAAAATATAGAGAAAAACTTGCCAACGTAGTGTACTGTATAACCATACATCAGAAGTTTTGATTTGTTGTGTGTTGTGCAGAATAGTAACTTATTGGGCAAACCAGTTATTTGGAAGCTTGCTGTATTAAGGACAACTTTTGTCATCAAATATTATTATTTACCTGTTATTGGTGCATTAAGGATATAAATGTACAGTGTGGACCATAATATTGTGTCTGTTTTCATTATAGGGATAACTAGCCTTATTAAAGCATATGAGCTTCCCAAAGCTGAGGAGGTCAATACCTGCAAACAGAAACTGGAAAGGATTCATGCTGAATTTGCTACAAACTTGTGAGTATTTGTTGGAAAATGTAAAATCGATGATACGACCCTTACCGTTCTAATCAGATCAGTCTGTTTAAAAAGCACACAAAATGAATCATACTAAGAGTTTTATTCAGCCAGGTTAGTAACTTTTTGTTTTGTATCTAAGATGCAAAAGCTGTGGTTTGAGTATAAAATAGAAAAATAAAAATACATGAGCTACCTGAAATACACACACGTCTGGTTTGCTATCCTTGTGGGGACTCTCCATAGGCGTAATGTTTTTTCTACTGTACAGACTGTATATTCTATTGCCCTACACCAATCCTACACCTAAACCTACCCCTTACAGGAAACTTTCTGCATTTTTAGATTTTCAAAAAACTTCATTCTGTGTGATTTATTAGCTTGTTTACCTGTGGGGACCTCAATTTAGGTCCCCACCGTGACACGAGTCCCCATGAGTCTGTGTGTATTCAGGTTTAAGTCCCCACCAGAATAGAAAAACAGGCACACACACACACAAAAAGGGTAAATCTGCATCATACTTTTCATAGATTTGCTGGGTCATAAAATGCAGCTGTACACGGAATGAGTACAACGTGAGCCGTTTCAAGTCAGGTGTAGTGAATATACACCTTCTTACACTAACATAAATGTATCACCATGTTTTTGGGACATGGCACAATGGTTAATCCAGACTTGTACTATGGTAATCACTGATTACAATGATGTATATCAGAGTACCATGGTATCGCCATCTCCACTGTACAATGGTACCACTGCCGTCCAGGAGTCAGAGAGTACAGGACAATGCATCTACTTGTCAAATCGATCAAATTTGACATTATAAAAACATAAACTGGAGATAAGTTTTGAGGTTTTACATAATTCAAGGAGTAATAATACACATCAAGAAACAGCCAATTTAACTGAGTTTGATTAACACAAACAGGCTGATATAATAAAATAATATGATATAGTTTTCTAGTTAGCAGGTATTGATGGTTGACTTTTGTGATGTGAAATAAACCAGGAAGCCCAAAATCTACTTGCCCCATTCTGGGGAAAAGCTTTAAAATTAATTTGAGCTCGGGTTTGTTGCCATTGTAGGTTAGGTGGAAGAACAGGGGGCAGGTTACTAAAAGTGGACGCATGCACCAGCCTTGTGTAATCTGTCTTCCAAAATTGAATCGGTCTCACTGATCTGCTCATGTATCACATACAAACACTGGTTTGGAGATACAAGCCAGGATGCAGCATCTTGTCAAGCGAAGCAGCTCAGAAGGTAAGATAGGAATCTTTAGGATCTAAGCCTACCTGCATCTGAAACCGCAGTTGAAAACAGGAAGAGGTTGTGCGGTAGAATTGAGTGTAGAAAGTTTCTTAAGGCTTGCACCATAAGTGCGTCTCGCTTCCCTGATGGTCAAGAGCAATGCAGTGCCAAAGTTCTTGCTTGCTACAGATGCCAGTCAGTCTAGGGCTCACGGCTCCCAGGTTGGTTATACCAGCGGTATCAATCGAAGATCCAAGTTGATTTTGCAGCATTTCAGATTTACACTCAATTTTGGTTATTCTGTTGAAGATTCTTGATTTTCAGTGTAGGGAGATCCAATAGATAATTTCTACGGAAATTACATCTCTACCCATCTCTTCGATGGCTCAATTTTGAATCTGTTGGTTTGAGAGATTGGCAATGTGTTGCCTAACTAGAGTCAAATCATCCACCATCTTCCTTTGCATCTGGGGAGAACGAGTCTTGCTGTCTTTGCTACCAATCTTTTCTTTCAGAGGAACTGGATAGTGGTTGCTACAGCCATAAAGGTACATTCAGTTCTGCAAAATAAAGACAAAATTGGGCAAGGTGACCTTTCAGGATTAAAGGGATAGTTCACCCAAAAATGAAAATTCTGTCATTAATTACTCACCCTCATGTCGTTCCAAACCCGTAAGACCTTCTTTCCATCTTCGGAACACAAATTAAGATATTTTTGATGAAATGTGAGAGCTCTCAGACCCTGCATAGACCGCAGCGCAACTGTAATGTTCCCAGGTCCAGAAACGTAGTAATCAGGCTCTTTCTGAAGGCCATGGCATTGTAATGCCTACATGCTATTGATCATCTTGATCTTCACACTGTGTGCACATAATTTCTTCTAGTTCACAACAGTTATAAAAGTCTGTGATTTATTTCTGTTGAGGCTAAAGTTAAAGAACAATTTGGAACTACACAGTTATGAGCTACAATGATGCACAAGTTTGCATGCTTAGATGTGTGTGAGAGTGATGGGTCACCAAAGACAGTTACTAAATGAATGCAGTCTTCAGATGATAACAGTTTATGGTTCTTATGCTTTCCTCTGTCCATGTCCTTCAGAAAAAGAAAACATGGATATGAAGATGATGATCACGTCGTGAAAAGGCAGATGGTTGCTGAGGAAGTAAGTTTATTTGAAGATTATTTGTTCCTCAGATGCACATCTTCTGGCTACCGCTTGAAGCTTACGGATTTTCTGTTTTGCAGGAGTGGACTGATGAGGATTTCGATGCATTTTGATGATGAAATTGTTTTTAAATTGGCAACATCCTCGACAGTTATTTCATGAACAGGCTGAGTTATTCCTTTTGCCATCACTGACCGAGGATGCCCTTCTCAAACTAGATTGTAAATATTTCAGCAAAATGTCATGTAAATCTTTTTCTTCTGTAAAAATAAAACTTTTTTTTTTATTGTTCTCATAATTGTTGGGTTATTTTATTAACACAATACTACCATGAGCACAGAGCATTTACACTACTGTTCAAAAGCTTGGGGTCAGCAATTTAGTTTTTGAACGCTTTTCAGCAAGGATGCATTACCTTTATCAAAAGTGACAGTAAAGATATTTATGCTTCAACAGATTTGTTGAATATACTGTTCTTTTGAACCTTTTCATCAAAGAATCATGAAAAAATGTACCACCACAAGTTCCACATAAATATTTATGCAGAACAACTGTTTTCAACTGATGATAAAAATATTTTTTTATTTATTTGAGCAGCAAATCAGCATATTAAAATGATTTCTGAAGGATCATGTTACACTGAAAACTAGAGTAATAATGCTGAAAATTACATTTTAAAATAAGTTAATTTCACAATCCTACGGTTTTTACTGTATTTTTTGATTAAACGCCTTTCAAAAATGTTACTAAAAATCTAAAACTTTTGAATGGTAGTTCAAATCCACTGGATGAGCAACAACTGCCTGCAACTTCAATTACTGCTGTAACAATAGTACTTTTTTTTCCAGCCTTTAAGTAGTCATTTAACAGACATCTTACAAGACACAAAGTCTCCCTACAGAAAAGTGGGGTTAAAGGGATGTTCTGGGTTATGCTCAATTGACACGTCACAAATGCTGTTGATAACCATAATAATGGTTCTTTATTCAAAATCAAGAACTGAAAACAGACAAACACTAGAATATTTTTAGAGGAGCTGATCTTTACGAGCTGATCTGAGACAGTCAGTACATTATAAAACATGTTTAATAAGTGCATGCATTCCTGATACAATCTTTACTATTATAAATTGTACTGCTGTAAACATTTTTTACCTTGAAAAATTTCTCCTGAGAACGTGTCTGGCTTTGAATTTGTCTCAGGGAAGACTGAACCAATCAAACATATCGTACAATATGGAAAACAAATCAGGTTACCTCAAATTATATACTCATGATTCCAGCAAGAGAATTTATTGTTCTGATATAAAATAATCATACTCTCTGAGGATGATAAAAACCAAAACCAAAATCCAGTCTACAGCACAATTCGAACTAAATGGAACAGGAAAAAGGACAAAGAACACTAGTCGGAGTACATTTTGCATATTCATAGCCATGTAAATCAGTAACAAATTACAGTATAAAAAGCATTTTAGCTCATAATCCAGTTATATGAGCAGCAAATCAGCATATTAAAATGATTTCTGAAGGATCATGTTACACTGAAAACTAGAGTAATAATGCTGAAAATTACATTTTAAAATAAGTTAATTTCACAATCCTACGGTTTTTACTGTATTTTTTGATTAAACGCCTTTCAAAAATGTTACTAAAAATCTAAAACTTTTGAATGGTAGTTCAAATCCACTGGATGAGCAACAACTGCCTGCAACTTCAATTACTGCTGTAACAATAGTACTTTTTTTTCCAGCCTTTAAGTAGTCATTTAACAGACATCTTACAAGACACATAGTCTCCCTACAGAAAAGTGGGGTTAAAGGGATGTTCTGGGTTATGCTCAATTGACACGTCACAAATGCTGTTGATAACCAGAATAATGGTTCTTTATTCAAAATCAAGAACTGAAAACAGACAAACACTAGGATATTTTTAGAGGAGCTGATCTTTACGAGCTGATCTGAGACAGTCAGTACATTATAAAACATGTTTAATAAGTGCATGCATTCCTGATACAATCTTTACTATTATAAATTGTACTGCTGTAAACATTTTTTACCTTGAAAAATTTCTCCTGAGAACGTGTCTGGCTTTGAATTTGTCTCAGGGAAGACTGAACCAATCAAACATATCGTACAATATGGAAAACAAATCAGGTTACCTCAAATTATATACTCATGATTCCAGCAAGAGAATTTATTGTTCTGATATAAAATAATCATACTCTCTGAGGATGATAAAAAACAAAAACAAAATCCAGTCTACAGCACAATTCGAACTAAATGGAACAGGAAAAAGGACAAAGAACACTAGTCGGAGTACATTTTGCATATTCATAGCCATGTAAATCAGTAACAAATTACAGTATAAAAAGCATTTTAGCTCATAATCCAGTTATAAAGGAGAATCGTTGCAGCCTTGTGTCGGTTCCGTTTCAGATCAAGCAGATGAAGAGATGCACTTTGGCAACCTGTATTTAAAAAAATCATTCTGTCGACTTAATGGGTCATTCGTTGGACCCGTCTGTTAGATTGATATGTACCCAAACCGAACGATCTGGTCGTGTGATTATAAAGTCATTGGTGTCAGACTACAGAGTCCAGCCGTTTTGTTTTGCAGCTGTAGTTTGCATAGTTCTCGTGGCACAGACAATGAGGCGGAGGAAACGGGATGATGGAAGATATGTGGAGGGTGGGAGCTGGCATGGGGATGAGGGTGGAGCATGCTGGGGTCCCATTGGCTACTCCATGGAGATGGAGACAAACTGACAGACAGAATGACGGAGGTGGAACTACCTGTTGCTGTTGGATATGGCATATTGCTCCTGTTTCTGCTGGAGGAGCTCAGTGATGGCCAGCAGCTTTTTCAGCACGTGCTGTGAAGAAAGGAAAGAGCCAACAAGCAATGATTGCATTCAAATCTTTATCTGCTGGGTTAAAAAATGGCACAGTGAAGCCGAAGGAAATGTCTTGTTTTCTTAAGATCACAACTTGTGACGTGGTCTTGTGATGCTGACAGACATTTTCTGATCCCCTGGTGGCCTTTTCATGAATGTTTGCACATACGTGAGTGACATTTCAGATTTACTGAGCTTCAATGATAAATAAAAACAGCTACATGAAGAATAACATAACTGAAAAGAGTGCAGGGGTCTCTGGATGTTTTTCTGAGTTGACACCAACTTAAAACTGCAGCGCACATGAACTATAGGCCTCAGTAAACTTCCAAGGGAGCCTCAAGATCACTTTAAATGATATAAAGTAAGAATAAACAATTTAAAATAATGTTTTTTTTTGTCTTTGATCTGAAAAAGTAATGTAAATTAAATGTTTTTTTAAAGCCATGCCATGCATGCCATGCATTATATTTTTTTATAACAAATACAGATTTTATAGGTATGCCCAAGCTCTAAAATATTTAATTGGGTTGAAATTGTGAGTAAAAATATTTTTTTTAAATCCTTATGCAGTTAATCATGAGCAATTGGAAAATCATGTATATTCATGTATTGAAAATAATTTGAAGAACATTAAGCTATTAAAACTAGAATCCTAAATGTATTTAATTTGAATTATAACTCTTTTGGTTGCTTATTTTAATCTATGGATTCTGCTAGTTTATGTTAAAAACAAATCTATAGTAGCAAATATATCATGATATTGTTGTGGACAATGGACAACTATTATAGGTCATTTTTTAACTTCTATTCAATGCTTTACCTCTCTGCAGTAACATATATGAAATAACAATATTGGTAACACTACAATAAAGTAATGTATTAACTAACATGAACAAACAATGAACAATACATGTATTACAGTATTTATTAATCTTAGTTAATGAAAATACAGTCGTTCATTGTTAGTTCACAGTGCATTAACTAATGTTAACAAGCACAACTTTTTAATAATGATTTTAATAATGCATTAGTAAATGTTGAAATTAACATTAGCTAAGATTAATGAATGCTGTTCATGCTTAGTTCATGTAGTTAACTAATGTTAACTAATGAACCTTATTGTAGTGTTAAAGGGGTCATATGATGCTGCTAAAAAGAACACTATTTTGTGTATTTGGTGTAATGAAATGTGTTTATGCGGTTTAAGGTTAAAAAAAC